TTAAACACTGAGCTATCACTCTAGCCCACAAAGGTAAGTTTTTTAAAAATGTACTGACTGGGTTCACAAGATGGTTCAGCAGGTAAAAGGTCTCACTGCAAAAGCCTGAAGACCTGAGTTCAATACCTAGATCCTAACAGCGGAGAAGAAAATCAATTCCTAAAGTTGTCCTCTGACCTCAGTACACATACCTTGACATACGAGATCAAGATCTCTCTCCCATAATTTTTTTAATGTATTGATGGGCTGGCAAGATGGCTCAGCAGTAGAGGTGCCTGCTGCCAGGTTTGATGATGTGAGTTCAATTCTGGGGACCTACATGGTGGAAATAGAGAACTGACTCCCACAAGTTTCCCTCTAGCTTCCATATGCACATGTACAACATGGCACACACACCCCCCCATACACATACACATAAAAATAAGTACATAAGCCGGGCGTAGTGGCGCATGCCTTTGATCCCAGCACTCGGGAGGCAGAGGCAGGTGGATCTCTGTGAGTTCAAGGCCAGCGTGGTCTACATAGTGAGTTCCAGGACAGCTGGGGCTACAGGGAGACCCTGTCTCAAAAAGAGCCCAAAAAAAAGTATATATAAAAGTAAAGAAACATATTGACTTCTAAAGTTCTAAGAGACAGTTTTAGAATCTAAAGTTCTAAAAGACATAGAACCTTATTTCTAAAAAAGGCAGAAGGCCCATGAGATGGCTCAGCGGGTAAAAAATACTTGCTAACTGGGCGTGGTGGCGCTCGCCTTTAATCCTAGCACTTGGGAGGCAGAGGCAGGCAGATCTCTGAGTTCAGGCCAGCTGGGGCTACAGGGAGACCATGTCACAAGAAAAGACCAAAAAACAAACAAAAAAAAAAAAAAAAAAAAAAAAAAAAAACTTGCTGTGCAAGCCTGGAGACCTGAGTTCAATACCTGGAATCCACATAAGGGTGAAGGAAAGAACAAATTTCTGAGGGCTGTCTTCTGAATTATACATATACAAAACAATAATAAACAAAAAGGGGCCGAAGAGATGGATGGCTCCATGGTTAAGAACACTTGTTGCTCTTCCCAAGGACCTACCTAGGTTTGGTTCCCAGCATCCACATGGCAGTTTACAACCACCTATAATTCCAGTTCCAGGGGATCCGATGCTCTCTTGTGTATGATATCTGCAGGTTCCTGTACTCACATAGTTTAAATAAACTCACACAGGTACACACACATACACATAAACTTAAAGATTAAATAAATAAAACTTTAAAGTAAGTAAAAAGTATTGGTCACCAGACATTATCCTCTGTAGAGGCATCTATCTAGTTGAAAACTTTTGGACGGATGGTAAAGAATAATCACTGATTATTAAATACCTTTAATCCCAGCACTCAGGAGGCAGAGGCAGGCGGATCTCTGAGTTCAAGGCCAGTGTGGTCTACAAAGTAAGTTTCAGGCCAGCCAGGGCTAAATAGTGAAACCTTGTCTCAGAAAAAAAAAGAAAGACTAATCACTGAGTCTTCTGGAGAAAGCTGAGGCTGAGAGCCCCAAGCAAGTCTAATGAAGCAGTTCTCTGAGGCGATACTAGCAAGCCCCCATCACCCACCTGACTCCAGATGAGCTGCCCTCCTCTTGTAAGCTGACTCAAACTTAGCCAGGTTTTCAAATGGCAGTTCTATTTTCTCACACACCTACACCACACAGACATGTACAAACACATTAATTCAAAAACACCAAGAGACCCCCAAATGCCAACATTCAACGTTCTGTCAAACTGAGTGACTCACGAAATTATGAGTAAAGAGCGTTATTCCCATTTGGCAAGTGCCAACTCATTAATATGCACAAATAACTTCCCTACACATGCCTGCAATCTGAGTGTTAGAGAGGCTGAAGCAGGAGGATCCCAAGTTCCTGAACAGCTTAAACCACAAATAGAACATTATGCTTCACACAGTTCACTCCAGTACACCTGTAAAAGGGGCTGGCGAGATGGCTCAATGAATAAAGTCCTTCACATGGCGACCGGAGTTCAAATCCACACACTCATATAAAAGACCAGGCAGATGATGTGGCAGACCAACCTGGGGAAACTGACTAGCTAGATTAGTTGAATCAGCAAGCTCCAGTCCAGTAAGAGACTCTGCCTCAGTACAATGAAGTGGACCATGACTGAGGAAGACACCTGACATCAGCCTCTGGCCACCACATGTGCCCGAGACACACACACACACACACACACAGGATTCACATTTGGAAACGGGAGCTCAAAATGTTCCAGTGCTGTCTGAGGTCAGCTACAAAGCAGCAGGCAGCAGGGACAGAATGAGTACAGACCTCCGAGCTTTCCAGACAGAATGCTGCTATGCCCAACTGTGAGGGAACACGCTTTCCAGTACAAACACAGACCAGGAGCGAGGCAGTGCCCAGAAGAGGCATACCAGGCCCTGGGGCTGTGGTTCAGTAGCAAGTGCTTGCCTAGAATTCCTGAGGCCCTGGGTATGATCCCAAAGACCCCAAAATAAAAATGATTAAAAGCCCAAGCGTCAGTGAAGGTCCATCCTCAAAGACAGTCCTGTAAGGTTCCCCAGCAAGATCAAAGCATGCTGGCAAGCCAAAACTTTCCTTCCTTCCCTTTTTAAAAATCCATTTAAAAAAAAAAATCCGTTTAAGTTTCATACTAGTGTATATTATCTGGTGACGTATCCACCTATACCCCACACAGCCAGCCCATCTTGCCCCTCCTCCCATTAGTCCCTGTCTCCCAGGCAGCTTGCCTTCGACTTTCATGTCATATTTACATCCTGATTTTCTCTATATAAAACCTGGGATCCAATAGCCAGGCGTGGTGGCACATGCCTTTAATCCCAGCACTTAGGAGGCAGAGGCAGGGGGATTTCTGTGAGTTCAAGGCCAGCCTGGTCTACATAGTGAGTTCCAGGACAGCTGGGGCTACAGGAGACCATCTCAAAAAGACCAAAAAAAGAAAAAAGAAAAAAATCTGGGATCTACAGATGACAGAGACCAGCCTCGTTCACCGAACACCTTATCTCCAGGTGCATCCATTTCCCTGCAAGTGACAGAACTTCTTTCTGGCTAGAAAGTCCACTGTGCATTTTCCTCACCCAGGCCTTGGCTGATGGACGCCTAGTTTGGCTCCATCCTTTAGCCACTTGTGATTTGTGCTGCAATAAACAGTGATGTGCAAGTATTTCTGTGCTATGTTGAGCTTGCAATCCTCTGAGTAAACACCCAGGAGCAGTACAGCGGGTCATATGAAAGATCTATTGTTAGTTTTTGAGAAACTTCCATAATGACTTCCATACTGGCTTGGACGAGTTTACATTCCCACCAAGAGTATAAAGGATTTCATTTTGTCTACAGCCTCGACAGCATTTGGGTTGTATTTTTTTTTTTTTTAAATCACATCTATTTAATTGTGTGTGTGTGTGCGTGCGTGTGTAAGAAGACAATCCTTGTAAGTAGGATCTCTCCTATCATGTAGGTAACAGGGATCAAACTCAGGTCATCAGGCTTGGCAGCAAGTACCCTTACCCACTGCCCAATTAATGGCTGCCATTCTGACTGGGGTGAGATTCTATCCCTTGTTTTTCCACTAAAGAACAGGCTTCCACTGCAGTAGCCACACCTACCCATGACCACACCCAATGACCAAGCCTACAAAAAGGCAGGCATGGGGCTGGAGAGATGGTTCAGTGGTTAAGCACACGGGATGCTCCTGCAGTGGGCCCGGCAGGTTCGATTCCCAGCACCCACATGGTGGCTAACAACAATCTGTAACTCCAGTTACAGGAGAATCTGACACCCCCTTCTGACCTCCACCGCACTGCACAACACGGAAGCACTTGCACACATGCAGGTACACTCATACATACAAAATAAAAATAAAATATTAAAAAAAGGCAAGCACAAAGGCCACAGTTGTCATGGGTTGGCATGATACAGCAGAGGAAGAATACTCACAGGAGACCTCATGAGGATCACACCATGTCCACTGAAACTCCAAAGACAATCTTACCACCAAGAGGTAAAGAGGCCGATATGAAGAGGCCAATACTGGAGAACATGGGTAATGCGTGCAATAAACATGTTCATGCTCTTCTAGGTGTTTAGAGCTCGGTGGTGACCAAGACCAAATAAAGGTGGCACAGGCAGCTCCAAGTGACAGAGATGTTAGCTTTGCAAGAGCAGAAGAAAGTCACTTGGGGGCAGAGTGACCTGGGTACGGCTGAAGCAGTCAACTGAGTCCCCACGGGGATTTATCACGGGGGTGGAGCGCGCAGATACATGTGAATTGGGCCTGGAGTCATGTGTAACAGTAGGCGCCTCTGAGTAGTGGAAAATGAGCTAACGCCTGTAAGGCGCTTTCCCAAGGTCTGGCTCTTCAAAGGCAAGCGTGCACGTTTCTAACTACAGCACTAACGAGGCAGAGGCAGGAGGATGCGAAATTCAAGACCAGCCCGGAGTCCGCCAGACCCGGGCTCAGAACCCCAACAGGGAACGCCCCCCTTCGGTGAGAACCGTGTTTCTTTTGTGCTAACCCCCTGTTGTCTCTGCAGCCTAGTACATTGCGTGGAATCGCTCAGAAGGTGCAGACGTGTCTGCGGGCTGAATGCATGCATCCAGACAGACATGCTGGAGCACGACGAGCGGGGAGAACCTGCGGCGTGAGCCAGGCCCACCCGAGACGGGACAGGACGCGGGTGCGGTGGGGGAGGGTCCTCACCTCGGAGGGGAGGAGAAAGCGAGTGCGTGGGTCCGTGGGGAGAAGACGCGCCCGGCGAAGACACGCGAGGCCCGACGCGCGGGGTGACAAGTGGCCTCGGCTCCGCGCGCGCGCGATCGGTTCGGACCTAACCGCCTCACGTGTGCGCGTCCGTCCTTCCGCCCCGCCGGGGCTCGACTCGCCACGGCCGCCGTCTACACCGGGTTTCCACTTCCCTCCCGGCTCCCGCCCGGCGCCTCCCGACCGCCCGCGCAGACGCCCCCAGCTCCTCACCTCACACACTGGCCGCCGGCCCCAGCCGCCATCTTCGCGCGCGCGCGTCCCGGCCCCGCCCCCTGACGCGGCGCTCACGTGACCCCTGTCCGCCGTGTGGGCGGGGCTGCATTGTCACGTGACGGCAAAGGCGTGGGCCAAGGTGGCGCTGCCCAGAAACTTGAGCTGTTCGCGGCGCGGGCCGCAGAGCTAGTGAGAGGCGCGCGGTGCAGACGTGATCCACGGCAGAAGGGGCAGGCGGTGGACGGTGACCGGACGCGGCTTCCCGGGCCCCGGCGTGGCTCGCTGTGGAGCACCCTGCTGGACGTTGTCAGGGTGAAGCTGCTGCCCTCTGCCTGGCACGCGGTGAGAGCCTCAGAGGCAAGGCGGCCCCAGTCACCCGGCTTCCCGCCGAGCCCAGACCTAGAGACATGACCCGACGGTGCCCTCGGTCCGTCCCGGAGACCGGGGTTCCGCTGAGCGGATCGGTACTGGCCGAGGCCGTGGTGGTGTTCACAGTGGTGCTTAGCATCCACGCATTGGTGTGGGACCGTTACTCGTGGTGTGCCGTGGCCCTGGCAGTGCAGGCCTTCTACGTCCAGTACAAGTGGGACCGGCTGCTGCAGCAGGGGAACGCCGTCTTCCAGTTCCGGACGTCGGCCAACAGTGGCCTGCTGCCCGCCTCCATGGTCATGCCTTTGCTTGGGCTGGTCATGAAGGAACGCTGCCACACTGCGGGGAACCCGTACTTCGAGCGGTTTGGCATTGTGGTTGCAGCCACTGGCATGGCAGTGGCCCTCTTCTCGTCAGTGTTGGCACTGGGCATCACTCGACCTGTGCCCACCAACACTTGTGCCATCTCAGGTTTGGCTGGAGGGATCATCATTTATATCATGAAGCACAGCCTCAGCGTGGGTGAGGTAATCGAGGTCCTGGAAGTCCTACTGGTCTTTGTTTATCTCAACATGATCTTGCTGTACCTGCTGCCCCGCTGCTTCACTCCTGGGGAGGCGTTGCTGGTATTGGGGGGCATTAGTTTCGTCCTCAACCAACTCATCAAGCGCTCTCTGACTGTGGTAGAAAGCCAGGGGGACCCAGTGGACTTCTTCCTGTTGGTGGTGGTGGTGGGGATGGTGCTGATGGGTGTCTTCTTCAGCACCCTCTTTGTCTTCATGGACTCAGGCACCTGGGCTTCCTCTGTCTTCTTCCACCTCATGAGCTGTGTGCTGGGCCTTGGGGTGGTCCTGCCCTGGTTGCACTGGCTCATTCGCAGGAACCCCTTGATCTGGCTTCTTCAGTTCCTCTTCCACACAGAAACCCGCATCTACCTCCTAGCATATTGGTCTTTGCTGGCCACCATGGCCTGCCTGGTGGTGGTGTACCAGAATGCCAAGCGTTCATCCTCTGAGTCCAAGAAGCACCAGGCCCCTACCATTACTCGAAAGTATTTCCACTTCATTGTGGTGGCCACGTACATCCCGGGTATTATCTTTGACCGACCACTGCTGTATGTGGCAGCCACTGTGTGCCTGGCAGTCTTCATCTTCCTGGAGTATGTGCGCTACTTCCGCATCAAGCCCTTGGGTCACCCCCTGCGGAGCCTTCTCTCCCTCTTCCTGGATGAAAGAGACAGTGGACCCCTTATCCTGACACACATCTACCTGCTTCTGGGCATGTCTCTTCCCATTTGGCTGATTCCCAGACCCTGCACACAGAAGGGAAGTTTGGAAGGAGCAAGGGCCCTGGTCCCCTATGCCGGGGTCCTGGCTGTGGGTGTGGGGGATACAGTGGCCTCCATCTTTGGCAGCACCATGGGGGAGATCCGCTGGCCTGGAACGAAGAAGACATTTGAGGGGACTATGACATCTATATTTGCACAGATCATCTCTGTAGCTCTCATCTTAATCTTTGACAGTGGAGTAGACCTCAACTACAGTTATGCCTGGATTCTGGGGTCCATTAGCACTGTGTCCCTCCTGGAAGCATACACTACTCAGATAGACAATCTGCTTTTGCCTCTCTACCTCCTGATTCTGCTGATGGCGTAGTAAGAGCAGCAGCAGGGGTGATGGAGGAGAACAGGGACATGGAGAGGGAATGGATGGCCCCACGGCGCTTGTCACTTGGGCACCAAGAGCCAAACGGTGAGAAGCAGATTGGGTTTTTCAGTTGACTCAGACTTTAAAATAAATTAAAAAAACAAACAAACAAACAAAAAACAATGCTCTCCTGGTTTGACTTTTGCTGATATTTAAAATGCAAAAAGGCTTAAAAGAATACAACATCCCAGAGGACTTGAATATGCTGTAGAGCCCCCTTCTTATAGTCTGGGTGGGGACTAGAAGGATCCTTGGAGGCAATAGAAGATGAGGCCTAATGCTTCAGGGTCTAGTGTCAAGTAAATCTGGTCAGAATCTGACCACACAACTTTACTATATGGCCTTAGCTGAGTCTAAGACTCTACTCTTCTATCTGCAAGATGGGAATAATCAACGCTGCTGCTCACTGAATGCTAGAAGAATCCAGGGAGATGAGGTGTGTGTGATGTACCCAAAGTATTCAGCCTTGGGCCAGTGAGATGGTTCAGGGGTAAAAAGCACTTCCAGTGTAAGGCTGACAACCTGCATTCCATTCCTGGAATCTTTGTAAAGGTGGAAGGACAGAACTGCCTCTACAGAGTTGTCCTCTGACCTCTCCACACGAACTGCCGTGGCTCATGCACACACATACACAGGCACACACACACACAGTACTAACTTTAAAAATCTTCAGCCGGGCATGGTAACGCACCCCTTTAGTTCCAGCACTTGGGAGGCAGAGGCAGTGGATCCCTGTGAGTTCAAGGCCAACCTGGTCTACATAGTGAGTTCTAGGCCAGCTGGGGCTACAGGGAAACCCTATCTCAAAACGACCAAAAACAAAGTCTTTAGGGGCTGGAGAGATGGTTCAGCAGTTAAGACCACTGACTGCTCTTGCAGAGGACCCAGGTTTGATTCCCAGCACCCACATGGTGGCTAACAACCATCTGTAACTCCAGTTCCAGGGAATCTGACATCCTCTTCTGACCTCCTTGGGCATTGTGTGACATGAATGCTCTTACATACATGCCGGTAATACACTCATATACCTAAAATAGAACTAATACAATACTTTTTTTAAAAAATCTTCAGCTGGGGCTAGAGAGATGGCTCAGTTGGTTAAGAACACTGACTGTTCTTGCAGAAGACCCGGGTTCAAATCCCAGCACCCACATGGCAGCTAACACTTGCCTGTAACTCTAGTTCCAGGGGATCCGATGGTCTCTTCTGTCCTCTACAAGCATTGTACAACACAGGTGCACTTACATACATGCAGGCAATACATGCATGTAACCAACTCCCAAAAGTTGTACTCTGACCTGCACTCATGTGCCCTGGCATGCACATGCCTTCACACATGCACACATACACATAATAATAACTTTTTAAAAATTAAATTAAAAAAAATATTCATCCTATGACCCACCCAGGTCAAGAAATCAGTAAGGCAAAATGTCATTATTACCCAAGAGTAATCCAGTAATCCTCAGAAAAAAGCCAGGCAAGATGGGGGAGGGGGAGGGTTGTGCTTGGAAGCCAGAGCGACCTTTGCTCTCCTGACTTCCTTAGAGCAGAACCCAAGAAGGAAAGAGCTCTGTGCATGTGCTTTCTCCCACTTGGACCAGGAAGAGCTGAGGAGAGCATGGGTCAGCTTGCTATGTGCACCAAAGGGCTGGAGAAAGCCAGCCCCACCTGCTCCTGCTGCTTGGTAGAGAGCTGTTGATAGCTAGGATGCACCCAACAGTACCAGCTCCTTGTCAGGAGGTTCTTTTTGAGACTTAGAATCCAGTCCTGTCCAACCCTGCATTTGTCCCTTCTGGTGGCAGAGTCTAGACTGATCCACAGAGGCTGAGGGGAGTTTCTTGAGGGTTCATAATGATTCCACTGTGAATGCTCCAACCAGGCTGTCTAGTTCTATGCCTGGTTCTCCATGATAGGCCACTGAGCTGGCACAGAGCCTGGCCCAGTATCAGGACTATACTAAACTAATTCACCAAATAGATGAATGTTTGCCACCAATAGAAATAGCAGGAGGCCCAGGGCTCTCCCCATCATGGCAGGGAGAGGTGAAAACTGTGGCCTACAAGGCCAGAAGCCAGGAATGGAGCTCTTGGGAGCTGAAGTCTCTTCCTGAGAATCGCTGCCAAGCCCTTTCCCTCGGAGAGCACTACCCTGTCCCTCTGGGGCCAGCGGAGAACCACAAACTGTCTTCCCAGGTTCCATTCTGTGAGCCCAAAGAGGTGGTCTAAGATGAGGAAAGGACGCCAGCTTTGCCCACTGAGTCCATGGGTGGCCTTTAGAAAGACTCTGCAGGGCTTTAGAGTGAGGGAAGGACTAGATCTAAGTTACAATAGTGGCCAGACCTGGCAGGTGACATGATGCCCGAGAACATAGAGCTACGGTGGGCCTCTCTTCAGGCAGTTCCTAGATTGGGAGTGGTGGGACAAGACTGTGGTCCCGGCACTCAGGAGGTGGAAGCAAGAGGATCAGAAGTCTAAGGTCATCCTCAGCTACACAGCAAGCTCAAGCCCAGCCTGGGGTACAATGACACCCTATCTAAAACTTGTTTAAAAGGACCAGCAAACTGTCTCAGCAGATAAAAGCACATACTGTACTAATTCCACAACCTTAGTTGAATCCTCAGAACCTATGAAGGAAGGATAGAACCGACTCCCGAAAGTTGTACTCTGACCTGCACTCATGTGCCCTGGCATGTACATGCCTTCACACATGCACACATACACATAATAACTTTAAAATTATTTTATGTGTACAAATGTTTTGTAAATATACCATTTGCATGCAATGCCTCTGGAAGCCAGAAGAGGGCACTGAGGGACATCTCCAGATGCTAACTTTACATAATAGACCTTAACACAAATGACAGAGTATATGAACTCCCAAAGGGGTATGGGGAGGGGCTATGGGAGGGTGCCAAAGGGGAAGGGGGAAGAGGGTATAAAGATGATTTTATGAGGGGGCTTCTGAGGGGCTGGAGAGATGACTCAGTGGTTAAGAGCACTGACTGCTCTTACAGAGAACCCAGGTTTGATTCCCAGCACCCACATGGGGGCTACTAACTGTCCTTAACTCCAGTTCCAGGGGACTTGGAAGCCCTCTTCTGACCACAGCATTGCACGACACGGGTGCACTCACATACGTGCAGGCAATACACTCATACACATAAAAATAATAGCCGGGTGTGGTGGCACATGCCTTTAATCCTAGCACTCAGGAGGCAGAGGCAGTCAGATCCCTGTGAATTCAAGGCCAGCCTGGTCTACATAGTGGTCTGGGGCTACAGGGAGACCTGTCTCAAAAAGACCAAAAATAAATAAATAAAAATAAATATTTTTTGAAAGACTATGTAATACACAAAAATTCAATAAAAATTTATTAAAAAAGGAAAAAAAGTATATGTGTATGTGTGCTTTGCCTGCATGTATGTAAGTGCATCCCATGTGTACAGTGTCCACAGAGACCAAAAGAAGGTGGGGATCCCCTGGAACTAGAGTTGCAGTTCATTGTTAGCCTCATTGTGGGTGCTGGAAACTGAACCCAGGTCCTCTGTAAAAGCAGCCAGTGCTCTTAAGTGCTGAGCCAACTCTCCAGCCTCTGCTTTTCGTTTCAAACAAACTGTATGTGTGACTGGAGTCAGCCGGCAGACCAGAATTGGCAGTGTCTGGCCTGTGCTCAGCCAAGCAGGATTTGAATTCGGTAGTCGTTACAGAAGATCTGGGTGCTGCCAAGCATGCCTGAAAAAGAACAGCCCTGGCAGGCCGCAATCCGTCCTCCTTGTCCGGGAGAAGAAGGCCCCGGGAGACAAAGCTCCTGGCCCCAGACCAGAGAACAAGTTGGTCCCAGAGCCAGCACTGGCAATACTTGAGAACAGATGCTTAGCCCCAGGATTCTTTGTCCTTTTCGTTACAGAAGATCTGGGTGGTGCCAAGCATGCCTGAAAAAGAACAGCCCCGGCAGGCCGCAATCCGTCCTCCTTGTCCGGGAGAAGAAGGCCCCGGGAGACAAAGCTCCTGGCCCCAGACCAGAGAACAAGTTGGTCCCAGAGCCAGCACTGGCAATACTTGAGAACAGATGCTTAGCCCCAGGATTCTTTGTCCTTTCCAACAAGGGACAAGGGAGTTGGAGTTTAGGAGCTCAGGCCTGGAGGAGACTGACCTGCCTGGACGACTGAGCAGCTGTGTGACTTGAGCAGGTCACTTGGCCTTTCCTTGTCTCTCGTCCTTGGTCTGTAAACACAGATAAGAGCCCGTGCCTCTCCTTGCAGGAACTCAGTGCAGAGCCCAGAGCAGAGCAGCCCAGAGTGCCCACTAAATGTCACTCACTCTTCCTAGGATCACGCACCCATACTGGGCAGGGCGGGATGCCCGTGATGGTTTTCAGCAGGTCTTTCATTCAGCAAGGCAGCGTGTAAAAGAAGGGTCGACGGAGAAGCTGTCTTCAAAAGTCATTTTTATTCAGTGTCTTCTACAGTAATGATCACTTGCCCTAGAGAGGAGACTGAGTCTCACAGAATCCTTTCATGGCTGAGAAGTCACTTCAGAAGGAGGCCCGGTTGGGGCAGTAAGGTGGCAGAGAGACAGAGATTTTGGGAAGCCCTTCAATAAGCCTGGGCCAACGCCTTGTCACTTGTGCCTCTTGACTGCCTATCAGCTGGACAGAGGGGCACAGACACCACCAGAAAAGAAATCCCAGGCAGGAAGATGTGACTTTGGTTGGTGGCTGGAGGCCACAGCTTTACCCTGAGAGAGACGACCCCAGCACTGCCAGGGCTTTTAGGTGTAAAGTGATGGGAAGGGTAGGTCAGCTGTCGGCTGGAGCCTGCAGAGGATGAAGGAGGTGACTTTGAGAAGCAGGGACCACTGCTCCCAGCCTCCAGGGCCTTCTTAAGAGACTGGGGCACATACACCCACCCTGCTACATACCAGTTCTCCGGGCTCCAGACGGTGCCAGCAGCCTCCATGAGGTGGAAAGTGTAGGCCTGGCGTGAGCGGTCCGAGAGGTTCTGCTCACTCTTGTGCACTACTTCTCCATGGATCAGGACTAGGGCCCCTGGTGGGGACACAAGCAGGTCAGGCCAGCAGCTCTGTAGACCAGCAGCCCTGTAGACCACTGTTCTCCTCCCAGGGCAGAAGGGGACACAGCTTCCTCCCTCAAAGTGTGAAGCGTCCTCACTGATCCCCGTTTCTATCCCTGGAAGCTCTGACACCCATAGCCTGCTCCAGGGTCTGAGGCTATGCTCTTAGACACAGGTTCCCCTGGGATCAAGTCCCCTCCCTCATGGCCTGCCTTGGCAAGCCTTATGAAGGGCCTCCCCTCCCCTGGGCAGGGATGATCAGACAGAAGTGCTCTGTACTGTGCCAGTCAGCAGAGAACCTAGTGACACTGAGTTGGACCCGTATTCCCTTTCCTTAAGGAAAAGCAGGCAAAACTTGCCAACAAGCACTTGCTGTGTGCCTCTGGATTCTCTGAAAACATCTTTAAGCATCATTCTCCATTCAGGGAAACTGAGGCTCAGAGACTTTTTTTTCCCCAAACCATTTGCCCAAAGAAACAGCCTGTAAGAGACAGAGTCTGGATTTTAGCCTGATCTGAAAGAGCTTGCTGGGCAAACACCACTTACTGCCTTCCAAGGGTGCTGCTAACCACAGCATCTCCCATTCTGTGATTCCAGGGCCCTTGGGTGGCACCACAGGGAAACTCTTGGTTACCAGGTGGAACATAGACCCCGGGGCATGGCCTCCTGCCTCCCTGTGCTTGGCATCCCACCTACCTCTCCGCACTGGCATGGGCACAAAGAGGCTGTTATCCCAGCAGGGCTCTGACCCAAGGAAGCTGGTGCCAGGCCCTGAGCCCAGAGGGGCCCGGATCATTCTTCTTGATATTCCACCTGTTGGCCAACATGGAGCTTTTAGTCTCTCTCTTCACCAGGTGGTACCTTTCCCTAGGGGTGGGGTAGGCAGGGAGAGACAAGGTCCTCACTGATATGGGAGCCAGGAATGAACCAGAGGCAGCCGTTCTCCAGTGTGGCATCCTCCAGTGCAATCCACATGCCCAGGACCCGGCCCAGGGGCTCCGTGTACAAGAAGGTGGCATCCTGGTGAGGAGACACTGAGGAAGACCCGCCAAGGGGTAAGGAATACTGCCCTTTGACCCACCTCACCTCCACCAGGTTCCCACTCCATAGTCCTCTTGGGGCCCTCAGGGCCAGCATATCCATATCCAGTTAGAATCATACCACTTTCTGGCCTAAGGGCTCTGGGAAAGAGATTGTACCTCTCAAAACTTCCATTTTGCCGGGCGTGGTGGCATATGCCTTTAATCCCAGCACTCGGGAGGGAGGCAGAGGCAGGCAGATCTCTGTGAGTTCAAGGCCAGCCTGGTCTACATAGTGAGTTCCAGGACAGCTGGGGCTACAGAGAGGCCCTGTCTCAAAAAGACCAACAAAAAAAAAAAAAAAAAAAAAACTTCCATTTCTGGGGCTGGAGAGATGGCTTAGTGGCTAAGAGCACTGACTGCTCTTGCAGAGGACCTGGGTTCAATTCCCAGCACCCAAAACGTCCTTAACTCCCGTTCCAGGGGAATCCAAAGCTCTCTTCCAACCTCCGTGGCATTGCACAACACAGGTGCACTCACATACATGCAGGCAATGCACTCATATACATAAAATTTTTTAAAAAATTTAATTAAAAAAAAAACACTTCCATTTCCTCAGTTGTAAAGTGGCCCCAACTATAACCTGCCTCAAAGGTCTGTTGGAGGGTTCTGTAAGATGACCCATTAAAATTGTTTGATACAGGGCCCAACCCCATAAAGCTGAAAAATGGCTGCAGTGGTTTAATTGCAGTCATGTAACTACGGCCATCATTCTTAACCAGAAACAATCAGATTCTAGGCACCAAGTGACCCAGTAGTGGAGCAAGACTGGAAAGTTGGGTACAAAGCCGGTGGCTGACTGTGACCAAGCATCCATATTTCTTTGTTCTATTTTGTGACAGAATCTGCCTATGTAGCCCAGGCTGGCCTAGAACTCACAATCCTACCTCAGCCTCCTGAGTCCTGGGACTACAGGTGCGTGCCACCACACTTAGATAGCACCCATCTTTCCTCTTTTCCCCAATACCGAATTTCGAACCTAGGGTCTCATGCATGTTAGGCAAATGCTCTACCTCTACCACTGAGTCACATCCTCAGCTCTCTCTTTCTATTTTTTTATTTTTCCACAAATTTTAATTGAGTTTTTGTGCATTGCATATAATAGAACTTAATCAAATTCATACCTTCTCCCTCTCCCCTATAGGCCCCTACCAGATTTCAGGTGTTCTGTCATATATGTTAGGACCTGTCTAATCAAGCATTTGTACCTCGAGGCCCCTCAGTGCAAGGTTATCCACTAGTCAGTATACCTAGAGTCACTCCCTTGAAGATCTAGCTCCCTCACCCTGAAGTGATTATTTGCCAATAATTACTTGACTAGGGTTGGGGCTTAACTTTTTTTTTTTTTTTTTTGGTCTTTTTGAGACAGGGTCACCCTGTAGCCCCAGCTGTCCTGGAACTCACTATGTAGATCAGGCTGGCCTGGAACTCACTATGTAGACCAGGCCGGCCTTGAACTCACAGAGATCCACCTGCCTCTGCCTCCCAAGTGGTGGGATTAAAGGCGTGCGCCACCACGCCCAGCCCATCTACTTTTTTTTTACAAGCTAAATCTTCTACCACTAAGACACAGCCACAGTCCATTTGCATATCCACTTTTAGAAAAAATTATAGGAATGGCCGGGCATGGTGGCGCACGCCTTTAATCCCAGCACTCGGGAGGCAGAAGCAGGTGGATCTCTGTGAGTTCAAGGCCGGCCTGGTCTACATAGTGAGTTCCAGGACAGCTGGGGCTACAGGGAGACCCTGTCTCAAAAAGACAAAAAAAAAATATTATAGGACTGAAGAGATGGCTCAGCAGTTAAGAGCATTGGCTGCTCTTGCAGAGGACTCAGGTTCAGTTCCCAGAACCTGCATGATGGCTAACAACCATCTGTAACTCCAGTTCCAGGGGATCTGACATCTTCTTCTGACCTCCACAGGCATTGCACGACATGGGTACATCTACCTACATGCAGGCAATACACTCATACACATAAAATAAAAATCATAAATTCAATATTTTTTAAATTTTATTTATTATTTTTATTTTATGTGTATGTGTGTATTGCCTGCATGTAGGTAAGTGCACCCATGTCGTGCAAT